GGATTTTTCATTATTAGGTAGGTTTTCCCAGTTGTTAGCCACTTTTCAATTTCTCCTCCTTGTAGTATATTGTTGAACTGCTTGGCAATGAGTGGGTGTATAACAGTTAGATGTTTCAACCAAAACCCATGCAGTTCATCTTCACCTGGTGCTGACCAATTTTTGATTTTCTTTGCTCTTTTTTCTACCATTTTTGTTGTTATTACTAGTTCTTTCATTTCAACTTCTGTTTTATTTGCATCCACCTCTTTTAACCAAGCCGCATCCTTGTTGTATTTCTTTGGGTTATCCCATATCTGCTTCCAGAACTGCACTGTTTCTTCCTTGTCAGGTACTGACTGATTCCTTGCAGTTTCTCCATTGATGGATTGGTAGAAACGTTTCTGATTGGATTGAAATTGGAGGTTCTGCCTATAGTTTGCAATTCGAGCTTCATATCTACTGATTTTCCTGGCTATAGCTGTTATTTGTTGCTTTATTATTTCCAGTGCTTCCTTGATCTTCCTTGTTTCTAAGTGGTATTTCTTGATTAGGTATTCTTTGGTCTTCTTGTTCTTCAGCTTCTTTTCTTTCATCTGTTCTAGCTTGCTTGCATGTGATCTTAACTTGCTGATCTTATTTTCTAGTCTAACCTTCCATTTTTCTGGTGCACTGTTTGTTTGTTTTTCTTCTTTGTTGATTTTGCATCCCAGGTATTCTGTTATAACTGCAGCTGTGCTGTACATTAGTTGGTTTGTTTCTTGCAGTGAATTGGTGCTTATACTTGATATTGCAGTATTTGCATCTTTTAATGCTTGTGCTAGCTGTTTCTTTGGAACAAGCTTCAATGCAGGTAGCCTTATTCTGTTGTTTTTGTGCTGTTCTAGATGCTCAGTTATTCTTTGTTTCAATTCTTTTATTTCTTTAGTTAGAGGGTTTTGTTCTTCCTGAGGAAGAGGTGCCTGGTTTCCAAATGAGAACAGTTGTATATCTCTGCTGGATTCCTTCACTGCCAACTCCCCTGGTTTGCCTCTACATTCTGAATTACTTCTGGTAAGGCTTTGATTTCTTTGCCCTGGGTAAACCTTTGCAGTTCGTCCAATTCTGTTTCTGTGAATACTTTATTTCGTGTTATAAATTGGCGTTGATCTGCTAGTCTCTGTTCTGTTATTTCTGATTCTGGATGTTGTTCTTTCCAGAACTGGTGCATTCGTTTTAGATATCCTCTTCTTGTTGGACTTGATCTGTAGTAACAGATCATTATTTCTTTGTTTTCCATCACTGTGTATCTGCGACGGGTAAACACCTTTTCTTCCAGTAGTTCTGCAGCTGCTGGCCCTGGTTGCTCAGCCAACAGTCCTGAGTCCTGTAACCCATTTTTCACCAGATATCCAGGAACTCCAATATCTAGCGCGGACCTTGTTAACCCGGGCGACGTCCGAGCCGGTATGGCATTCTGAAATTTACGTCTCACCATATTTTTTATGGGAGAGACACTCTTTGTCTGACTCCTCTGATGAGACCTGTCCAGTATGGTTGAACCTCTGGCATAGCTCTCATCTTCCTCAGAGTACACAAGCCCCACAACCACGTCAAGTTAGTACTATTATTATTATTATTATATATTATTATTATTATTATGGATCATCGCACAGTCAGACAGATGTTCAGACTGGATTTGGCATTTTGTCTACCTATCGAGTCCTTACCCAGGACCTAGGATAGGCAGATGTGGATGTTTGATGGTATTACAGATATCGTCGCAGGATGGAAGCAGTTCCTAGTAAGGCCGCCTTTTGCAATTGACTAATAGCGAATTTGTCAATGCCAATGGTGTTCAAGTGGTGCTCCAGTTGTTTTGGGATTGCACCCAAGGAGCCTATGACTATTGGTACTACCCTTGCTTGCTTTTGCCACAGTCTTTCTATTTCTATTTGTAGGTCTTTGTATTTTGTTATCTTCTCCAGTTCTTTCTCGTCTATTCTGCTGTCTCCAGGCACTGCCACGTCCACTATCCAGACTTTTTTGTCTTTCTTATCAACAATTGTTAAATCTGAGGTATTATGTTGCAGGTCTGGGGTGTTATGTTGCAGGTCTGGGGTGTTATGTTGCAGGATTATTATTATTATTATTATTATTATTATTATTATTAATCTGAACTGTGGCAACTGCATTTGCATCCACTGAAATTGCTGGTTTTCTTCTAGGTCGGCCCTAAGTACAGCACTCTACAATATTAAAAGATTATCAAAGCATGCATCATTCTGACAAACTAATCACTCTCTGGAACAATCACAGATTGGTCAACCAAACAAAAGTGCAGAAGTATCTTTGTTTATTTAACAAGTTTCTATTCCCTTGTAATAAAAATTATTCTAGTGGCTGATGCGGAATTATGTGGGCTTTAAGTGATAATACTAGATATAGATATTTCTCCAAATTTTCTGCTTCTAAGATTGGGATATGCAAAATTAGTGGACCAAAATTACTGTAAACACAAATCAAAGTCTCTGAAGAAGAGAACAAACAATTCAGTCTAAAAGCACATTCTACTCATTTTTAAAACATACTATTGTGCAACAAATAACGGCCTGTCAGGTTATATCTTAATTCCTTCTTTCACGCACTAGCTGTGTTCATTTCATGTCACAAGTTTATTCCATCCTGTTTTTATATTTTAAATCTATTAAGCAATGTCAACTTGAATTTTCCCTGAATAATGCTGCAGGTTAGATATAAAAATAGGGATGATACAATCTTTGAGGGGTAACATTTATGTCAGTTAATTAATATGGATAGTTGAGCTTTACATCTATCTCTTTTTCATGTTTGCACATTTGGGAGATATCAGTGCCTGAGCTATACCCACAGAGTCATAACGCTCTATAGATATTTGAAAGACAAGACACTGAAAACCGCAATTCTTTTTCTGCACAGAACCTGGGTACAAGGGGTTTCCCACAGCTATACTTGTTTATAGTATATATTCAAGAATAAATTAGTAGGCTTTTGCTATATTATATTCTGCATTTCCCAAACCCAAAGTCATAGATTAATTGAATTCCAAAGCTTCATTCTGTACAAAAAGGAGGTCTCCATGCAGTCTATAGCAGGGGTCGGCAACCTAAAATGGTGAAAGAGCTACTTGGACCCATTTCCCTCACAAAAAAAAAAAACAAAAAAACCCTGGGAGCTGCAAAATGTGCGCATGTGCACACACGTAATGGGAACACACGTAATGGGGCTTGATTGAAGAGTGGAGCCTAAGGTGACACATGCACTGGCCCTGCCCGCGTCCAGCTCTGGCTTCTCTTCCCCTCGGAAAAGACTGCTCTTCCCCCTTTGCTGAAGTGGCGAGCAGGAGGGTCTTGCCTTGGGCACGGCGGGGCTGCTGGAGGCTGAGGCCCCCAAAGGCATGGACCAGGCTATCTTCCATAGCGGCGGGAAGGCGACCGCGGGAGCAACAGCCTGCTCATCTCCCCTGGCGGTGGCGGCGGCAACAGCAGAGCCATCTGGTGGTGTTTACACTGCCCTCCACATGACTGAGATAGGCAGCGCTGCCCCACTCCGTCCCGCCCTCGTTTCCCCAGAGCAGAACTGGGGTCGCACCAAAGGAGCCAGCTGAAAGTGGTGCCTTGGACTACCCTTCTGAGGACAGCGCTTTGGAGGAAGGCTGGAGCATGGCACCCTTGCCAGAGAACTAGTCAGCCCCACTAACATGTGAACCCCACGCTAAGAATGGCCCTGCCTAAACTAAGCTCAATCGGACAGGAAAGTTCCAATCCGATGGAGGCTCCTGCAAAGTCAGCTTGGTCATTGGGATCACGCAGTTCAATGGACTTTGCCCCCCCCCAAGCTATTAATTCAGAACCAGGCAGCGCTTGGCTTGCAATCAGTTGCACAAAACAGGTGGATAGGATTGCAGCCAACGATAGTAGGACGTTAGAGCCGCCAAATCTGGTCTTCACCCGGATGGACGGGCGAGCGAAAAACCTTTTGCGTTCCTTTGCAAAGAGGCTGGTGGCGCATGGCCTTGGGGAGGGAAAGACAGCTCTGGAGGGAGGCATCCACACAGCCAGAAGCTGGCGGTCCCAGCGGAGTGGCACGGAAGACCTACTGGTTGGTGTGGGAGGCTCCAGCATTGCCGGTGAGCAAGGCCTGGCGTCCGCAGCCCAGTTTGGCACCCTGACGACCAGCTGGACCGGCTTTCACTGCTTCTTTGCAAACGAATGCAAAAGGTTTTGGGGTTTTGCTAGTCACTTAGTCTGCCTGCCTGCCTGCTTGCGGAGCTGCAGTGTCTGGCCCTGGGCTGATGGGGGAGGGGGTGGGGGGGTATCCGAGGCCTAAAAGGTCCTCGAGGACAGGCTCGGGGCCGGCCCTCTTTCCCCGGCCACAGGAGAAGGAAAGGCGTAGGCTCTCCACCTGGGCGGACAGGTGAGCAAAACCCAGAAAGCAGGAGGGAACCCTCCAGACCTTCTGTTTTCCCGGCTTGCCAATGACGCTTGCAAATTCGGCTCCTGCCAGGGAAGCAGCACCTTTTGGGATGGGCTCTGAGCAATTGCATGCTTCGGGGAAGGAGCACGGTGGCCTGCAAGCAGGCAGGCAGATAGGCAGATGCTGGGCAGCATGAAATAAGCGGCGAGCAAAACCCCAAAACCTTTTGCGTTTGTTTGCAAAGAAGCAGTGAAAGACGGTCCAGCTGGCCGTTGGGGTGCTGAACTGGGCTGCGGATGCCAGGTCTTGCTCACTGGCAACGCTGGAGCCTCCCACACCAACTAGTAGGTCTTCCGTGCTGCTCCGCTGTGACCGCCGGCTTCTGGCTGCGTGGCTGCCTCCCTCCAGAACTGTCTTTCTTCCCGGGCCATGCGCCACCAGCGTCTTCTCTTTGCAAAGGAATGCAAAAGGTTTCGAGGTTTTGCTCGCCCGCCCGGGTAGAGACCAGAGTTAGCAGCTCTAATGTCCTACTAACATTGGCTGCAATCCTATCCACCTGTTTTGTCCAATCGATTGCAAGACGCTGGGCAGCACAAACTAAGCGGCGGCAGGAGGGACGCGGGGCCTTGGCTTGTTGCTTATCAAGACCATGCTCAGTTTGTGCTGCCCAGTGTCTTGTTCTGCCGCCGATCAGGCCCCTTTTTCGCTGCTGGAAACATGCTGCATTAGCTGGCATCGCAGGGGATGGTCCCATGGCAACGCCGACAGTCTGGGCCGTGCGTCACCAGTGTCTCCGGTCCCGAACCATGAGCTGCAGGAAATATCCGGGCCCAAGTTGTCCGCTGCAAGGACACCCCGGCCACGACAGCGCCGCCAAACCGCTTTCTATGCCACTGGCGTCCCTGAGCTGGAGCAGCGAAAGCCGATCCAGCTGGTTGTCGGGGTGCGGAACCAGGCTGCGGAGGCCAAGCCTTACTCACCGGCAAAGCTGGAGCTTCCCACGCCGACCGGTAGGTCTTCCGTGCCACTATACTCAGACTGCCGGCTTCTTGCTACAGGGCTGTCTCCCTCCAGAGCTGTCTTTCCCTCCCTCCCGTCTATGTCGAGCCCATGGCGAACAGTGTCCCACAAACCAAAGAAGTTGAACTAATCAATTCAAACTTCTTTCGTGAGAAGTTTGAATTGATTGGTTCAACTTTTTTAGTCCTATTTTTTTTGGGCACTGCACGTGGCTAGGAGCCGCAGGAAATGGCTGGAAGAGCCGCATGCGGCTCCAGAGCCGTGGGTTGATGCGGCTCTGGATATGTATTATATTCTGAAAGATAGACAATTTTAAAGAATTCTGTCTACATCAGTCTGGGTGCCTTCCCATTATATGGATTTCAACTTACAAAATGATCAGTAAGGGCCAGACTGGATAGGACTGCAGTCTCAATCTTCGACACATTGTATTTTAACAACATCTAAAAAAAACCTGTTGTTAAATGTGCTATTTGAAGAATTTGAAAAAAAACAAAACTTTTGGCTTTTAAAAGTTCAGTTTAAATGGGATGTTTTGACCCTGGCACTGAATACACTTCTGGCACTAAGAAAGTTTAATTCAACAATTGAGTTTAAATTCTTTATTGTTTAATGTTCTTTGAGAAATGACTGGGATTATTGGAAAATCCTAGGTAGACCATATACCCCAAAACAAGGACAAAAATTACTTCATTATTTGACATTTTTCCAGGGTATTTAAAAATACATATGATAGACTTACCTGTTTTTAGTGCTTCCCTTTTGACAATATTTGTTCGGAAGAATGTTCTAAAACTTAATGGAATTATGTCACCATATGTTGACATTTTCTCTACAACTTGTTTAAACATTTGCACCATACCATGCAGGACTACATCTAAATTGATTGTAGAAGCTGATGATGAAGTCAGAGTTAAAGATATGGTAACAACAGTAGCACATGTTGGATAGGACTGCATAGCTTCACATCTAATTTGGCAGTTCTCCAGTGACCTTATTTGTGTAAGTTTCTGCCTCTGTTGTTGGTCTACTACTGCAATGACATGCCATTCAATGGAAGCAGCTCTTGGAAGAAAAGGTACCACAACGACAACTAGTTCTCCATGTGTTGCAGGCACATCATTATTTATGTCTTCATCTTTTGTCTGGAAATAAAGCAGACCACACCAAACATTAGAAAATATTATTGTTTAAAGGTGTATATACAGTATACATATATGCACACATGTACACATACATAGAGGGAAAAATTATAAAGATTTAATGCACAAGGACTGGTAAACTATGCATTTCATTGTATAGATCAAATAACACATGTCACATAAAATTTTGTTTCATGTGAAAAAATAAGATGAAAAAGGAGGAAGCAACAAAATGTATTTCATAATACAGGTGAGCCGAGGTGGCGCAGCAGTTAGAGTGCAGTACTGCAGGCCACTTTAGCTGACTGTGTTCAGCAGGTCAGCGGTTCAAATCTCATCGGCTCAAGGTTGACTCAGCCTTCCATCCTTCCGGGGTAGGTAAAATGAGGACCCAGATTGTTGGGGGCAATGTAAATATATATATACATTGCTTACTGGTGTACACCACTTAGAGAGTGCTTGCACTTAAACCAGTATATAAGTCTCATAAATAAATAAATAAGAAGAAAATAATTTAGAATTATTTTAATTATTTAATAATTAAAATGTGGTCCATATTAAATAATGATTTATCTTTCTGTTACATTGATAGCGAGTTCAGAAACAGAAACCTTATGATGGCTAGAAAAGCAAATGAGCAGCAAATCAGAGAGGACCATTTTATAAACCCAGGTTGGATACAACCAACTGGCCAATATGAAAAATGGCCTCATGCCATTCATTACAACAAAAAAGCAAATAAAGATTTCCAGAAACTTAAAAAAACCTTAATTCCTACAGCAGACATACATACAGAACATATTATTAATCTTTGTAGGAGCCAATTTTCATCCTAACTAAGGCTGCTTGTTTCTGAGTCCATGGCGTTCCTTGAAAGTATAGTTTCTAGAAAAAAGGCATCAGGGGACACCTATTATTGATCCAAGGTTGTAAATCTGGGGTTGCAAAATAAAATTTATGCAAAATGCTGGTGACTTAACATAGCCTCTTCATAGGGATATGAAAACTAATTCCTGTTTCCCAAATCACCACAGCAGAAATTCCTTTGTTTGTTTTCCCAGGGTGTTGATTCAGCCAGTTGTGGTGGGACTTTTCCTGTTCCAAAATCACTTTGCTTTCACTGGCTCTTGATACTGAAGCATATTTTAGTTCTTTTCCTTCCAGAGTGATTTGCTGCCCATACATTATGCTTCTTTTTTTTCATTTCCCAGCTGGTCTAGAACTCCCTTCAACTGCTCCCAGAGTAGTAATCCTAAACAGCTCTCAGGTTGATTTTTTTTTTTTTTTTTTTGGTAGCTGGTGAGCTATCTCCCTGAACCTTCTTATGCCCTCTACTTTTGTCTTTTAAAAAATAATGTTATTTTTGTTTAGTTAAGCTTTTAATTTGCTGACTAATTTCTTAGAAGTTGTGGTTGGTTTTGTTTCACCTTGAATATCTTTCTAAAACCAAAGTGAAAAGATGAGGAGAAGGGGAAAAAGTACCCTGACACAATTAAGAATTGATGACTGGTTCCAGACACAGACTGCATGTCAGTAAGTGTAAAAGATTTACTTTTCTTAAACAACCACCTTGAACCTCTGGTTATTTATAAGATGTTTCAGTTTATGAGGTAAAGGTAGAAGCAGAAAATATAAATGCATGGGATATGCTTGCCTCTCTCTCTTTGTCTTTCTGCATGCAAGAAATGTTTTTGCTGAATCAACAGAGAAGTAGCTAAAAAAATTACAGTGTACATAACCCTCTGCATTTCAGGGCTAAATTCATGGCACATCAGCATTTTATTGATGACACAGTTTTCCTGGTATATTTGAGTCTAAATGGCATCAATGGAAAATTGAACTCTTTTCTATATGTTTTAGAATATTCACCAAGAGGCATTCCAGTAGGTAAGAAAATTAGCTGAATTTACCCCACTAAGATAAATTGTGTTATGATACACTTTGCAACTTAAATTATTCTTATTATCAAAAATAATGCAACACATATCTACAAATGTTGCTTTTATAAAAATCAAAAAACAAAACAAAAAAACCCCAGCAATTTCTTTGCCCTAGCTCAGGGGTAGGCAACTGTGGTTCTTTTATGACTCGTGGACTTCAACTCCCAGAATTCCTGAGCCAGCCATGCTGAGGGGACAAGGGAGAGGTTTCCAAGCTGAGCCATGCTGGCTCAGGAATTCTGGGAGTTAAAGTCCATGAATCGTAAAAGAGCCAAGATTGCCTACCCCTGCCCTAGCTGCTATGTATCCCAATTTGTCCAGTGGATTTATAGTGGTAAAATGTCTTCTAAACTCCAGAGACATTATACTTACATTTAATACCTCCATAGTCCCATCTATGTTCATGGAAATGGAAAACTACATGGCTTCTCTTTAAATTTCTCCTAGCTAAATTTCCAAATTTCCAAACCTGAAAAATAAGCCTTTATTAGTGCCTACTTATGTTGGGCTCACTGCTAAGAGAAGAACTGGAAGAAAAAATACAGATAAGAGCCTGGCTCCTATCCCAGAGAGGCTGACCTAGGAAGGCAAAAACAGAATCCCTGCCAGGTTGAATTAATTCTCTTCTGCTGTCCTACTCTTAACTACAAAACTCTTTTGTCTTGCTACCCAAGAATGGTCAAGTTTTTGTTCTTCAGAGTTAAGGCAGGATTTAGCTAGCTTGCTTCCCAATAGCTTTACAATTATTGTCCAGAAGACCCAAATCTGTCTTCCGTTAAATTCAAAGGGACTTGTTTTAAACAGCAATCATAAAGATGATATTCCTAGCTGTTCGTAACTATGATTTATCAATAGCAACACATCTTCTTCCCCAGTGGCACGCATCTCTGTTATCCTGTCAATGCCAGATGGAATACCTCTTTAGTCTATCACTTGCTTTCCAGCAGCTATCACTAAATAGCTCAGATTATGTTATGGTGGACATCTCTGTGCAGACTTCTACTTATTTATCTTAGCTTCTCTATCTCAGAGACCCAACCTAAAACAACAGATAAGCTCATGAATAAAAATTATCACATGCATTCCTTGTTCCCTGCCAGATCCCTGTCAGATGTCACCTGATTTTCTGGATTCATTATATACAAATGTCTCAACTCCTGTCATATGTGCTCTCTTTTCCAAATGACCTGCAACGATCCTGGCTGAAGCCATTTTTGCTTCGTTTCCAGTTGCCACAGTACTGAGAGGGGGAAATAAGTGGTTTTAAGGTTAGACTAAACAATAAATTGTCCCGTGGGAACCAAGGACATTGCTGCCTGACTTTAGAAGGCTAAGCTGAGCCTTCCTTTAGAAAGTCTGCCGAAGTATTCTATTGGGGAACGCGGATAACATAGTGTTGGGATGGGAAGTTCAACTCTGTAACATTGTAATGCTTGGGAGGGAACTACAGACCTGGTTTCACTTTTGACCATGCCAATACTTTGTAGCCAATAAATATGTTCTTTAAGGAAATCTCTAGCCTTGGAGTTCTGCTTTTACTGATCTCATCTATTGGAATCATGACATGACCATTATTCTCTACCCCTACAATGCATATTTTGTCTTGAAACATTGTAGAATACTGCTTTAAACTATCCAAACCAATACTTGTAGACCAGGGTTTTTCAACCGGTGGTATGCATAACACTGGTGGTACTTTAGCATTAGCAGGTGGTACACGACCCCCTAGCCAAGTGTAGCAGAGAAGGGAATGAGCTAAAGCAGTGCCACGCAGGCCTGGAGGAAACCAGCTGGAGCTGCAGGGCTTGGCAGAAGCCCCAGGATCTGTGTGCGCGGCTGCATGCTGGTTGGAGTTTCCGGTGCACCAGGAAGAGAAAAGAAGGAGGAGGAGGGCAGAGAGAGGAGAACCTATAAAATGAGCAGGTATTGACAGAGGAGGAAAAAAAACACATGGAGAAAGAGAGCGAGCGAGTAGCCTTTGCGAGCAAAGGGTGAGTGAAAGAGCGAGAGAGAAGCTTGTGCAAGCAATGTGTGAGTGAAGGAGCGAGAGAAAAGCTTTTGCAAGCAATGTGTGAGTGAATGAGAGCAAGAGAGAAACTTTTGTGAACAACAAATGAATCTAACCAGTAAAGCCCAAAATCCCCCCTCCTTTTTTAGTCAAGTTTTTGATGCCTTGCTAAGCAGTGGTGGTACTCAAATATTGTTATGTCCTAAAAGTAGTTACAATCTGTGAAAAGGTTGAAAAGCCCTGTTGTAGACTATTCAAGCCACTTTATGATTTCATTTTAGAAGATACCTATCCTTAATGAGGTTCTTTGCTTTCACAAGTTAAGGGTCCCTTTTCTACTGATACATAACTCGGACCTGTATGATCTAATAAGCTGTCCATGGTCTCAAATCATTTTTTTATGTCTGATGGCTATTTCCAAAAAGAGTTTTTAAACACAGCCAGTGATATCCATGAAACAATCTCTATATTTCAGTAATTTGCTCGAGTACTTACATTCTGATCACATTCCTTTTTTTAACATCCCAATAAGTGAACTAAATCTTGGTTTGATACAGAGTATGTCTCAAAAAAGTATTTAAAGGTATGTCTAGCTTATAAAAATGTCCATAGCTACAACAATAATTCTTCATTTGAAACCTTCCATTCACTAAAAAAGAGGCTACTGAAGGAGAAAAAGCAAAGTTATGCTTTATAGAATTGGGCCATGTTTCAATAGGCTTTGTTATGTAAAGATGGTTGGATGTTTTGATACCCAGGCACTCAGTTCCCAGCTAGATTTAATTCTACTAATATTTACATGCCAATTACCAATTCTTGGGACAAACATTCCATAACTTGATCAAGATACATCTAGGTGATGAACTGTATACCTGCTGATAGATAATATCCTTCCTGAATGGCCCTCAGTTTCATTCCTAGAAATCCAAATATTCGTAGTTCAGTTGAAAACAGGAAAGCTTCTAGCAAAGACTTCATGTTATCAGAATTCCTAAAAATAAATGTTTAGTGGCATCCAACTTAGCGCTTCTTTTCACTCCTATAAATAATTCCTT